AGACTCCCCCAGGCTGCCCACCCTCTGGCAACACAGCTCCCTCCGAGCTATGGATCACTCTCAGAGGCTGGGACAGCTGTTGGAAAAATACAAGTGACACACCTCAGCCATTGCATGGAAGCTGCATGTGTTAGAAGGGTATGGAGTGGGCAATGTTAACACAAAAGTGTCTGGTTTCACTCTGTCACCACAGGCAGGCAAGAACCTACATGAGGGTTTACTCAAGGCTCACTGGAACTCCTCTGAGCTGCCTCACCTGCAGAGCAGGATTTCAAATCTTGCTCCTGTCTGTATGAAGTGGTGTGAAGACTCCTCAGTGGCATTACTAAGTGTAAAGCCAGGGACCTTCTGCTGTCCCCAGGAGTCACCTGTGCTATGTGCTAAAACCTGAAGCTTATTTGTTCCCCTGCCCTTAACCTCCTGCTCTGCACAGCTCCTGTCTGTCTCTTCTTGCTTCTTTACCAGCACACACTAACACATGCAAACACCTGCAGGAGGGACTGGCCACTCTAACTCTTGAACCTCCAGTTAACTCTTGAACCGTAAAACCCAAGAAGGAACAGAAACTCTGGGCAGTCCTCCCTGGCACTGTCTGTTACACAAGGAGACTTAGAGTAGTGACCAGCACTAAAGACTGGTGAGAGTGCAGAGTGGCATAAAGAAATACTTAGCATATCCTAGGGCTCCCCTGCAGTGCCACGAATGGCACCTGTTGCAAGTCACCCCAACTGTTTCTTCAGTTCCAGTAAAAAGCAGCACTTAGTGCACTCAATCTACACGTTTCCCTGCTTGCCTTTTGCATTTCAGGCAAACAGTCAATTTCTCCCAGGCAGTAAAAGGCTTAAAGCAAAACACCTAAGTTCTGCTTCCTGAAAGAAAGGACTTGGTAGGCAAATTTCAGAGCGGTGATGGTGAGATTGTGTGCTTTGATGACTTTGGTGTGAGAAGGTTAGCAGGCCATGAGAAACGACAATCCCAGAGGTTTGCATAGCCAAAATGCTCTCTCACTGCAGGGTGCTACGTGAGCAGCTGCACCAGCTGTGGCCTGTGCTCCCTGTGTGCTGAGCTGAGAGACACAGAGCTCTGGGGGGAAAGCTTGGATTTCTGAGCCAGGCCTCCCTGCATGGCCCAGTGGGCTCAAACAGTGTCACTGCAGATCCACAGCAGATCCCTCCCCACAAACTCCAAAGCCAGTCAGGTCTCAGAGATTCCTATTCTGCTTTTTGAGCATGACTGATCTCGCCACTGAGACCGTGTGACTATCACTCATGCTCAGAGGTTCATGGGCATACTTACTGCATCCTTCTCGGGGTTGCAGACTTTCACCCACAGCAGGTGGTCTATGAGCCAGTCTATGGGCTTGTCCTTATAGAACATGAGAAAAAATTCCACGAGGAGAGGCAAGTCTTCCGATTTAAACAATTTCCCTGGAAGCAAGACAAGAAGTTGCATGTTCAGATATTGGTATGGCTGTGCACAAATCACCAGCTTTTGTGTTCAAACATCTTTTGCTTAACCCAATGTTTCAGGGTCACTCCAGCCTGAAAGACATGGATGTAATTCTGGTCTTTAGAGAAGGTTTCACATGGCTCCAGCTTTGGAGAGCTGCTGCTCATCCAGCTCCTCGGGATTTTGCAGAGATCTCCATCCCATGCCTGGAGATACTCTCAGAGTCAACCAGTTGACTGACCATGTGTGTGACCATATCCAGGCTCCAAACACAAACCTGCCAGTCACCTGGAGCAGCGTGTAGGACGGAACCAAGTCTGAGTAATTCCCAAAATGCTGGACATGCAGTTTTACTGCCAATACTGTCCTGGATGTCTTTAACTTAAGACCTAGACATGAAAAACATTGCTTTTAAAGTAGTATCACTGTTCATGGAGTTCTCCTGCTATTAGCAGATTTGATTAGGTTCCTTTTTTGGCCTAACACTTATAAGGTGTCAGCACAAGTAAATTGTATTAGAACTTGTGTAAGAAACGTACTACTAAACACAACTAAATACCTCTCCCTGTGGGAAGGAATGTATATTCTGCTCCACAAGGGAAAGGAAGCAGATTTGTTTTCACAGATTATCTAAATTCTGTTCTGTGGTACAGGGGAATTACTTCCTTCCCATGGGAGCCCAAGTCTAGGCCCTATGCTGAGGACACTGCATTGAAAAGACAGTTTAAGGAACACAAAAAGCAAAAGACTTTGGTGTGATCTTTCCCAAAAAGCCAAGGAGGTTTTGGTATGCAAGTCTTTTCATGCTTTGAAATGTCATTCTGAGTGAGACCTACACAGCCAGAACAGCTGCAAATCCACTTAACCCTGCTGAGATCTTAATACTCACCAATAAACCCAAGATGGGAGAACTCAAGGACCATCCAGTCTTGGGACTGTTGAGAAGCAAAGCTTTTTATACTTTCAATATAATCAGCTTTGGCTATAATATCATCTTCCAGCTGGGGAAAAAAAGGCAACAGAGAAGAAGAGAAGGCAAGTGGTGCTTTTGTTGCTGGCAGAGGGGGTGGTGCTGGTGCCACCTGTGCTGTGTGTGACTCCTGCACGGTGGGCACTGAGAGCCAGCGCTGCTGTTCGGTTGCTGTGCTTCTGGGCTGGGATCACTCAGTACTTATCCACAGGACTGACCTGAACACCACCTCCAGAAAGGAGGACCTCCTACCCTAGAGAGAGCTCACTTAAAGGAAAACTTTAAGCAACAAGATAAGAGGTTAAGGAGGGCAAAGATAAACAGTTTGTACTTGAGTTGTATAAGCATTGATAAGCAATGGGAGCAAACTGCTTGACAAGAGAGGCATCTAAAGCACGTGGTGAAAAGCTTCAGGCAGACTTTGTCATTCATGAGAGGTGCTAGAGAAGAGCTGGGGATCATTACCAAGGTGCCAGGATAGAGCTAGTTGTCCCAGGGAATAGTAAGGCAAGATGTGCTGTGTGCACCAGGCTGAAGGACAGTGATGCACAGATCTTCTGAGGAGCTGTAAAGGCTGACACAGAACACAGCACTAGAGACAGCTGAAGGGTGCTTGGAAAGGAGCCCAACAGCCCTCGAGAGCATGGGAAAGGCCTTGGCTGCTTGTGTGCACAGCTTTCAGGAGAGAAGAGGGCACATGGAAACCAGAAGCTGTTCCTGCGGCTGAAGCTGAGGATAGAGAACCCAAACAAGGACCTTGGAGGTAATGACACCAAGGAAATAAATGCATTCCAGAAACAAAGAGCAGGTAGTTCCCAGTTTGAACTCAGCCTGGGTGTGAGAACACAGGAAGAGGATAGGCCTGCAGGAAAATGCTGTTGAATGTAGTGTAATCATAGAGTTAATTTGACCTAACTGCTGTACCTCCCTGGCTCTGGTGCATGTCTGCTGGGGCTGGAATCTGCTGCAGAAAAGCAGAAAGGATAAAAAGTATGATTTCCTGCTGGTTTTGTCTTCAACTGGCTCAGCACAGAGTCAGCACTGAGAGGGTGTGAGGGCAGACCCACAGCTTTCAGTTGCCTGTGGCCATCGCTGCTAGTGTGGGGCTGTGTGGAGAGAAACGCGTCAAGGGAGAGCCGAGGAGGAAGTGCATGAAGTCAGAAAGACAAGATTAAGAGATCTGTTTTGGCCTTGTCAGCTTTTGCTGATGGTAAGATAAAAAAACAGACAGAGGGAGACAAACTGATAAAGATGGATGTTTGCTAACAGATTCTGAGATCTGGGGACTGACCTGAGTTCACAGTTATGCAGAAAAGAACAACAAATAAACCCCCAAAACATCAACTTACAAGAATTTTGCCTAAAATTAAATGAGCTCAGAGGACTAGGCAGGAGCTGGATGGAAAGGGAGAAGAGCAAGGAATCACAGAAGGTGTTTGACAGTCAAAGACAAATTGAAGGGCAGACAAATCCAGGATGAAAGACAGAGAGGAGTATCCTAAAGCCCTAGGAGAACACCACAAGAAAGCACACAAGAGCAGCAAAGATTCAAAGTACAGAGGCTGTGATGCAAAGTGGGTGTGACTGTGGGCATGAACTGAACGTTCTGCACAGTGCGAAGCCTGAACCTGAGTATTGGAGAGCACAGTTTGATACCCCACACAGCACAGGCCATTCAGAGCTACCTATTTCACCCTACAATCTGGTGTTCAACTAAAGCACATCTTGGAGAACGTCTGCCATTGCTTCGGGCTTCCAGTACCACTTCTGCTCCAGTATGTCACACAACATGCAACCATCCTGAATGCTCAATGCTTGCACCCGAATTCTGCTCTGAGGTTCTCTGCCTTCAGCTTACAGCAACTTGTTTCTCACGCGCTCTTCTCTGCCAAAGGAGGTTATGCAGTGCACACAGCTGGATCAGGAAGTTTGAGGCATGAACTGTCTGGTCCATTTGCCCCATTGCAAACACATGATCACAGCTAATCTTCCTTCACCCATCAGCAGTTTGGAGTGAAAACGATACCTGCACTATAGCATGGCTAGGAAAACTTACCATGTGATAGACAATAAATGGGTTCGCAATCATCCTTCTGGCTGGGAGAGGGTAAAGTGAAGAGGCCACAAAAAAAGTGGAAACATGCAATGGCAAAGCATCTTCCTTTTGGAAGTATGTGAGGGTAGTTCTATCTTTTGAATCACTGACAATGAATATGTGAAGACTTTTAAGCTCTTTTTAGGAGCTCTACCAACTAACAGGCTTGATCTAGAGTCTAGTGAGGGGAATAAAAAGAGAATCCATACAAAGACTCCTCAGGAACACACTGAGCTGTTGCTCAGCCCTCAAACCCATTAGAGAAGGACTTGAGAAATTCAATCATGTGCACAGGGAAGTGCTGCTGGCAGTATGCACTACCAGTTTTACACTACGTTGTACACAAACACACACAGCATCCCCAGCCTCCACGTGAGGGGACAAAAAAGCACAGCAGTCGTGCAGCCAAGTCTGAGCTCCAGAACAGATTTTAGCTGAAGAAGCTAAGAGATTTGTCTGTGTAATTCATCTGTGCTTATAGGAAACACTTCCCCAAACTGCTGTACCTGTGCTTCTTTCAGGTTGGAAATGTCTGGTTACTTCAGAATGAACAAAGCATACCAGTGTGTGCTCACCCCCAGGCTGGGGCTGGGATGCCTCTGTGCTGCAATCCCACCCTCACAGGTGCCTCGGGGGCTCTGGGAATCCCAGGCAGCACAGTGAGAGTGCATAAGAGGATTCAAAGTACTTTCCCTTTGTAATTGATTGAGGAAATGTCACCCCAAAGCAAGGAGGAGCAGAAGAGGACTCTGCTTGGTCAGTGGGTAAGGTTGATCCGCAGGGTGACCCTGCTCACTTCAACAGACCTCACACAGCTGCTTGCTTAAATCCTGGCTCAGCAGGATTCTGAATGAGTGTTTGTTCAGCAAAGATCTTGTCTGGCTCATGACATAACTGCTTTGTAACACCAAGCCTAACTATGTGTGCTTATCTTCTTTCAAAATTTGGAAGTTAGTATCAGCCACCCAGACTGACAAAACAGTAAATAAGATCTAGACCACTTCAAGTTTTGCTTAAGGCAACTGAAGTAGGTCCTTGTACCTAAGGAAAGGTGTTGTTAAGTGATTTGCTTTGCATTAAGACAAGACTTCCCAATGGAGGGAGATCACAGCTGATTTTATGGCACAAGTGTTCATTCCCCTGTGCTCTGCAGAGCAGGCTGGGCCAGGCCAGTGTCTGTGCTGCAGGAGCAGCTGCAGTCTGGGCAGCCAAAGGAGGACGTGGATGCAGTAGGCACAGTATGAGGAACGGGAGGAGGAAAGCAGAGTTCCCTTTTAAGAAAACCCTGAATGCAGGCAGAGCTGCCTCCAGCCCATCACAGTCCATCCTGGCTCCTACCAGCACAGCTCAGTCCTGTGTGATGGCTCAGACAAGGAAACACAAGTCCATGAGTGAGTCACTGCCATGCCAGCCTGAGTGCTTGGAGAGCTCTGTGACAGGAAGGGACACTAAGTGTCTGGCAGCATCTCAGCCTTTCATTTCACCACGTTCCCTAGGCCTCAATGCTCCAGTGCACTTAGCAAACTCGGGTAATGTCCTTAAAAACATACAGAAGCCACAGGAAAACACTTCCCTTTCCATTAGGACATAGCTGTTTAATAGGCAATACTTCTGTTTGTCTACCTGCCTTCTGAGCACATCTGAGGACAGAGTGTGGGCTCTCCAGCAACCCAACCCAAGTGTGTCTGTGTTAAACCCCAACAAGAGCTATATGAGCTCGTGTCCCTGCATTCTTCTGCTCCTGGGCATCTTGAGATGTCCTCGTGTGATACAGAGCATGGGGCCTGCTGGGGCAGGAGGAGATCCAGGAAAACTAAAAACCAAGAAAAACGCTCTTCTGAGCCTTTTTACACAATGTTGGCATTAATGAGCTACCTGAAATTTTATGGATCTGTTCCACCACTCACAGCCCTGATGACTTTTGAGATCTCAGTTGGTGATTCTGAAGTGCCAATCTAGAAGGAGTGCATGGGGATCTCCTTTAGCACCACGTATTGTGGGGGATCTCAGGCCTGTGCCAGCCTTGTCTCTGCTGTCACCACACTGGTGTGTTTCCCTGCCTGCAGCTTTCAGTTCCCTGTGGTCTGGGCTATGGCCTGGACCTAGCAGCTCTGTTCTGCCTTGCTGCACTGAGTGGAAGTTCAACTCAATTCTTAACCTAATCAAACAAGGGTTTCACGCTTCAGTTCCTTGCTGTTCAACCTCACCAGTGACAAGAAGGCACAAGAGGGATTAATCAGACAGGGCCTGGCTGTGAGATGTATGCAAACACAGAAATATAGGGATGCTTGTAAAGAGCACAGGGAAAGTACACAGAGAATCACAACAGACTTCTGGCTTTGCTGAGGCCTCTGAAGCAAACTAGGATTGCCAAAGCTAATCATCAGTGCAGAGGTATCACAGCTATTTAACGATAACACGGACATACCTGTAAATAAAATGACCCCTTAGGTTGGGCATACAGCATTAAAAAGCTATAATCCAAATTCTGCTTAGTTCTCCACCTAAATATAAGCAGCAAATTCTGATAAGCTTATTGGGAGTGTTGCAAGAGTTATTTCTACAATAAAAGCATTTCCAATGCTCTGCAGGGTTTTTTTTTCCTGCAGTAAAACTGTAAAACTGAGTATTCTAACCCACTGTAAGTGCAAAACATTCCTCCATAACCAGTGTAAACATCCACAAATTTGACTTTCCCATAGAAGTTAACATTAACTAAGCAAAAGGTTTTGACCTGTGTCAACGGAGCCTGAAACAAAATGTCTAACCAGTTTATTCATGTCAAAGGACTTACAGATTCTCCCTATTATCTTATGAACAGTAGAGACACATAGATTATTTCAGGGTGAAAAAGTAAGTACTTTTACTTATGAGCAGCACAAAGGCAGGTTGATAACTTTAATTTTCAGGTTTAACACAAGTTTTTGCCTGCAAAGGAGAGGATGAGGTTGATATTTGATAATGCTGAAAGACTAGAGAGCAATTTGTCAGTGTTTAGTTAACATAAGTGTATCTGATTCAAGTCGAATAGTATCTGAAGCTGAAGTTGTGAAGATGTTTATGCTCTGAAGCACTCAGCTCTGTCTATAAAGCTAATGCACAGACACAGAGCCCTGTGGATCCCCTCCTGCCCATGCTCAGCACTGCAGCTCTTGCTGCTCTGCTGTGGTGTCTGATCAATGAGTTATTGGTGACTGAAAGGAAATTACTTCCCTCCAATAAATCAATGTTTTTAGGTCATCATATCTGTCTCAGTGAATTCGGGGCACATGAGCAAATGAAACCACTGGTTAGAATGTATTGATAGCAGATAAAAAGCTGATGATCACCAAAAGTTAGGTCATTAATGAAACCCACAGCAGTTGTCAGCAGTTAGCTAAGGGCCATGAGGGGTTTCCTCTGTGAGTTCACAGAGCCTCTCCCTTATCTATCACAGCAATATATTCCCATTTTTCCCTCTAGGACTGGATCATGCAGCCTATTGCCATTTGGCACCATTCACCTGGTCTAGAACCCGTGGGGTGACAAGAGCCAAAGGAGGAGAATTGGCTTTCACCCTGGAGCTTCCCTCAGGATCCCCTTGTGCAATCATTTATTGGTTTTAAGCACAAATTGGGGTCCATTAACTCTGAAACACAAACAGATCAGCTCAAACAGTGCTGACTTCTGCAGAATCTTCCCTTTCATACTCTTAGCAAAAGTTCTTGGGTCTTATAGAGCCCCCTTACCTCACTCTGATCTCAGAGTCCCCAAATGTTTGCTTCAGGTTGGAAAGATCTGGATAATAAGAAGCAGGAGGAGAAATAACCTCTAGGACTCCAGACTGGATTTCTCTGGGGAAGCTGTGAAGAGAATCTCAGTGAGACCTCAGTCCTCAAAAAGACTTCTGAGGGCAACCCCCGAGAGCAACTGCCCAGAGCCAGTCCTGCTCCTCCACACCTGGAATTCTTAACTCTAGCAGAGAAACTGTCACAGACACTGCAAATCTGGCACCAAGAAGGCTCTTTGACAACCATCAGATCATTATGGTTCTGACCTCACACACTGAGTTCAGTAACTCATCACAGTCTCAGAAAATACTGGAGAAAAGGGTCTCAGGGATCCTGTCCCTCCTGCAGCTCCAGGTGCTTACTGCCCATCCTGAGATGGTTGCCAAAGTACAGCAGTAACTCACAGCCAAATCCACCACCTAGACCAACACACAGCTGGTGTGAGAGCTCCTCTCTCCCCTCCCCTTGCTCTGCCCTCTAGCCAGTGATGCTGTCCCAGGGCAGGAGTTTGGAACGGGGAGTCTGGGTCTGGTCTCTGCTCCAGGGACCACATTTGCCATTTATAAAGTCATTGAAAAACTGTAATCTGCTTTGGGAGCCAAACCTGGAAGCCAAATCTCTTCCTTCCTCCCAAAACAAAGCCAAAACACAAAACCCCAACACAAACCAGGTACAGGATCACTGACATAAGGAGCTTTCAGAACCAAGTTACCCATTTCCTACGATCAATGAAAAAAGATAACACTGAAAATTAAGCACATCAAGTACAGCAGCATGGAAAATATCTCAGCCACACTGGCAAAGCATCTGCTCTGCAGGAACATCTTCAAAAGCCATGAAAAATATAAAAATGACCTAAGTGCTTACATTGCTGCAGGTACTGTGCCTTGGCAGTGCTCAGGACGCCCAGGAGGAGTGTCTGTCCTCTGTCCTCCCGTAGCGCTCCCGGCTGAGCTGACCCTCTGGAGGCAGCAGGCGATGGATGCTGCTCCCGACAGACTCAGGGTGAGGAGCCTCTGGGGCAAACCCACCCACTAAACAGTCTGGGAAACCCTCGAGTGGAGCAGGATGTGCAGGAAAGCCCCAAGAAGTGCAGGAAAAGGACAGCTCCTCCAGGGACCTTGTTCAAATATTTTGGGGTTGGTTTGGGTGGGTGTCCACCTCTTCACAAGTAACAGGGCGAGAAGAAACGGCCCCACGTTGCAGCAGGGCAGGTTTAGATAGGGTGGTAGGAAACATTTGCTCACTGAAAGGGCTGTCAAGCACTGGAACAGTGCTGGACTCGGAGCTTGGCAGTGTTGGGCTCACACGTGAGCTCCTTTGGCCTCTGCAGGTCCTTTCCAAGCTGCCCAGCTCTGTGACAGACTGCAGGACACACTGCAGGGCTGGACAGCCCTTGGGCACCCAGGCCCTAATGACTGCATCCTTACCTTCAGAGGGAGAGACTTAGGTTCCAGTAAACCTTTACAGAAGTTTAAGCTGAGACTGATTAGCTGAAGCACATTTATGAAAGAACTGGAAAATAAATTGCCCCACATCCTTCTGCTCTGAACTCCACAGTGTATATGCACACACACCAGGAGTGCACCTTGCCTCGATACTTGGCAGGTCTGTTGGGTGCTGAACTGCTCCAGTTCCTCCCACAGCAGCTCCAAAGGTGTTTGATGGCTGCTGGGGGTACACTCCAGGGTACTCACCTGGCCTCAACACTTCCTGCAACACTGTGCACATACTCTGCATCCACCTAGGGGAAAGAAGGGCGTTCAGTCCAGGCCACCTATCTTTGTATTCAGCAACATTTCTAGGGAATATTTGTATGCAAATACTTCATTTTCATTCTCCCGTTCTGTTCCTTCTAACTGACGCACTGTTACAGCAGCATCTCCCACTGAAGGTCAGTATGGGCTGTCCAAGCCAACTAAATTCTCAGTGTAGCTGAAAGCAAAAGTGAACTAGTTCCAACTGTGCTTTCTGTGTTTTGCTTTTCACTGCTTTTGCAGGAGGTCAGGCCTTTTTCTGCAGGAAATTCTGTCCTGCAGCTTTCAGTTCTGCCAGAAAAGCACATAGAACTGCCAGTAAAAAGCAGCTTCAGGCTAATCATCCAAAAACCATGCAAAGACTGACACTGGTAAGAAAAACCAACTCAGCAAAGTGTTCTAAAGCTGGTGAGACTTAACACATTTATTTAGTTTCTTCCTAATGTAACACACTTTTGGCTCTTTGTCTGGGAATTGTGAGGACACTGTTATTCATTACTGCTGTTCCATAAAAGTGAGTGTTCCAGTGTGCAAAACACACCTACCAGCTCTATCAGAGTGCTAAGTTCTGTGGATGTGATTTCCAAGGCAATACAACACCTGTCTTAGCAGCTCAGATCTTTCTTAAATACACAAATAACTGTTGCCAGTTAGACAGTAAATGTGCAATAAATAAAAATGCTGTGAAGTGGCAAGAAAAGAACTGTGATAAGAGGGAAAATACCCAGAACTTACCACTCACTTTCAGTCAATAAGTTACTCTGACTTAACCTGTGATGTAAACATTTAACCTGACCTGTTGAAACCTTCTGGGGAAAAAGGAAGGTGTGGATCCATGATCAGTGGACACACCTGCCCTCCCCTCATAATAAACTGTACTTAATCACCTCTCTTAACAGCACAACCTGCTCCAACTTACTGCACGGCTGCAAAGTGGGAGCTGCAACATGTGGCTTTGGGGATGGGAGAAAGGGGGTAAGAACTCTGTCCATGGCAGTTTAATCCTAAATTGGCTGCTTGGACAGTTACGACAGCCAGAGCTACTGGTTGTGTAAAGTGTCACACCAGGAAACAGTGGGAAGGTAGCCAGAAGTTAACCCTTAAAACCTCAAGGACTCTGCAGCCTTGTAATAAGAGGGTTATCTGACTGGCAGCTAGGCAAAGCTCATCACTGCCAGGGCTCTTAGCTGGAAATACCAATGTAAGCTCAGCTCCTGAACACTCTGCTGATGAGGAGCTACAGCCGGTAATGTTGGTCCTATAGACTCATCCTTGTGGTCCAAACAGAAGAGTCATCACCTACCTCATTCAAGTGCCCTGTATCCTGTTTGAGAGTGCTACAGCTGCAAAAGGTGCTCTAAGTGGTGGCTGAACTGAGACAGGCAAACTGCCAATGGATACAGGTATGAATTTAATGCTGTTTACAGCAGGACAAAGCAACGAAGTCTGAACACATGCACAGACTTCACCTGCAAACAGCTATCACTAGCTCATTCCCTTCTGGGGCTTTTTCCTAATGTGTTCAAGACAATTTAGAATGAGAAGAAAATGAATTTACTTCTAATATTTCACCTTGAGCACTGTTTGCTTCCCCAAACATGGAGCTGTTCAAGTCTCTGCACAGTTTTCTTTTGCCCAGGAGATGCCCATACACATGCAGAAGGCTCCAGTATGTCTAAGTGCTTTGCAAGGTATGTGATACCAAACCAGCAGATGACTAAACTTTTGTTAGACTAAGGCTCCTTGTTTCAGGTTCTGTGGAGGACTTACATTTCACTCTGGAAGCAGAACACCTGACCTTTGGAGATATATAATGAATTCATATGGTTTTACTGGAAAATCTGCCTCAACGACTGTGTTGGGAAATGTAACATGACTTTTTACCCTTCAGCCACCTGAGTTACAGGGCTTTCCACATCTGAACACTGAGGCTGTAACTGCTCACCATCCCCTCCAGCCCTGAAGAAATTCCTCCCAGAGGACTGCCTAGCAGGATTTTGCAGCCTCTCCCACACTATTACACTGACACAAATCTCTAGAATATGTTTCCATCAGCCTATGCACCTTCCCACACCAGCCTACCTCTGCTACAAAGATGATTATCACACAGTCCTTCTTCTGCTCCTCAGAAAGCCCATACAGGAGGGAGTGCAGGGTGTTAATCAGGTAACTCTGTTTTTCCCTTTTCACAGTAGGAATACCCATCACCAGTGAGACTGCAAAGAGAGAGAACCACAGGGTCATACAATGCTAGGGGTTGGAATGGAGCTCAGAGACCACCCAGCCCCAACCCCTGCCCTGGGCAGGGACACCTCCCACCAGAGCAGGTTGCTCAAGGCTCAGCCAACCTGGCTGTGAACACTACCAGGGCTGGGGCAGCCACAGCCTCCCTGGGCAGCCTGGGACAGTGTCTCACCACCCTCACAGGGAAAACTTCTGCGTAAGAACTTATCTAAATTTCCCTCTCTCAATTTGTGCCCATTGCCGCTTGACCTGTCCCTGCAGCTCCTAACAGATCCCTCTGCAGCTTCCCCGGAGCCCCTTCAGCTCCTGGAAGGTGCTCTGAGGTCTCCACACAACCTTCTCTTCTCCAGGCTTCACTGAATTTCATAGGAAATACAAACATGTACAGAATAGAAGCCAAACTATTTCCTACCTCCAGTTCTCTGTTGCCCAAAAACAATGTCAGGGAAAATTGCATCATGGTGCTCTCGCAGGTGAGGGAGGTAGTAGTAGATGTTTGTAAGGTGTGTGGGAAGTTTCCTGGGGGTGTTCCAATTCATTTCATCTGAAAGAAACAACAGTAAAAGCATTTCAATTTTTGCTGTATGATAAAATTTGCCTGGAAGGGGAGGCAGAGGGATAGAACAGACACCAGCACAGGGTCAGACCACACACCAGCACATAAGAGCTTCTAAAGGCAGTTTGCAGTGGCACCCAGACTCCTTCTGAAGTTGGAGTACACTGTGAAATGCCTCCAGCACAGAGATGCCTCTGCTAGTTCCCCTTCTGTCCCCAAGGAAGCAGCTTTTCCAGTCTGAACAGGGAGTAAAGCACATCCTGCACAATGACATCATTTATTTGAGGGACAGAATCAAACTGTCAGTCTCTTGTGTGCAACTACAGTGTACAGCGAGGTGGAGATGTACACCAGTCTGTCAGGCAAGGCAACTCAGCAGTTCAGTTAAGCAATGGGAAGAAGCCAGATCACTAAACTCATTGAATGCTGCTGTCCTTCCCCAAAAAATCCACAGAAAGGCAGAGAACACTCCTCCCTCCCCCCAGAAGAAGAGTTTTAACTGGCATCACATATAAGCATTCGGAGTTTGCTTCGGATTTTTAACTAACCACTTGCAGGATAAACTCCAACAGGGACATTCTTAGGCTGTGTCTAGTCTTCCTGGGGCCTCTCAGCTCTTGGCCCAGGCAAGCTCCCAGCTGCGTGTGACCTGCCTGCTATTTGTTAATATGATCAAACCAATGATTTTTCTCCCCACACCAGTGACAAACATGAGCACACAAACCTGAGCTGTTAACACAGGACATTTCTATGCACACAAACCTGTATGATTTCTTGTCAAGTTAATTATTCTTGCAATTATGTGTTTAATTTCCTCCAGGGCATTGCTCAGTTCATGGGATCTCTTTTTATTCTCCTTTTCAGCATACAATAGTCTCTGCTGAAGCTCCAGAAACTGTTGTTCATACATGTGTAAGTCATCTCCTGCAATGAGAACATCATTTCTTTTCAGAGAGGTGATATGTGTGATGGAATAAAGAGACACTCCAGAAGATGAGGTCCCCAGAAGCATATAACCAATAGTAAAGTTCATTCATGAAAAGAAGGAGCCTGGAGGAGCCTTAAGGAGGTTGAGTTCAGGAAGCACAGCTGGGCAGAGGCTTTCCACTGACGACAAAACCAGAACTGTGACATCCATAACAAGGAGGCAGTGAAGGCCTGGGAGCTGCAGGGGAAGGTGCTACCAGTGCAGCAAACAATGGTTTTCACTACATGACAAACCTCGATGAAGCTTTTCATGTTGAAAAGTGCAATTATGCAATGGCTTGTCTGTTGTATCACAACTGTTAAGACTAAAACAGAGATATTGAAGGTACTCCACCTGCATCTATGAGTTAAAAAGTGTCTGGAGCATACTAAGAACTACCAGTAAAGAGGCTGTTTGCACTTGGATGTACTTAGTTAGTTACCAGCTCAAACTGTGCTCTTTCACACAGCCCTTTCACACAGCCCTTTCAGCCCTGTGGTGTCAGTGTGACTCCAAACGACTGGTGGCTCTGCTGGGCTGAGTTTGGCCAGCACCAAGTCATTGTATTTTGTTTGCGTAAAGGTGAGCACACCAAAACTCACAGGTGCCTCTGGCAACTGAAAGGTTGACTCAACTGTCATGAGTGCACCCAAAGAAACTGCCATTCACAATCAACCTTATCTATCTCTTCAGGCCAGATGAGGGAAACCACATCTTCAAGTCTGTCAGAACTGAAGCTTCTGTTCAGTGAGCAGAACAAGGTTCTTGATAATCACTTATCTCACGTGCGGGGACAGCAAGGGCTTTACAGAAGGAACACAATGTTCTCTCACCCTTAGTGAAGAATGAACTTATTATAAATGTATCTAGCTGGAAATAGAACATGAGATGTTCTAAGTGTTACTAGAGCATATGCAAATGAGCAATATTAAGTATTCTTTAAACCTTGGGCAAAAAATGTGTGTCAGGAAAGCAGCAAGAAGCTGAACACCCTAAATGTCTGAACAGTCATTAATGTTTCAGCGGCTTTGTGTGTTCTAGCAGCAATGAGGTCAACTCTCAGTTGACCTGATGTTGTTTATGGGTCCCCATAAATCTATGGGGCCTGATGGGATTCATCCAAGAATACTTAAAGAGTTGTCTGATGTCACTCTGAGGCCTCTCTCGATGACTTCTGGATGGTCTTGGGGATCAGGAGAGGTCCCAGGTGACTGGAAGCTGCTAACATCCTGATTTTCTGCAAGGGCAGGAGGGCTGACCCTGGTAACTGCAGGTGTGTCAGCTCACTGCACTGCCTGGTGAGGTTATGGAGAAGATTATCCTGGGAGGAACTGAAAAGCACCTGGAGGACAGTGCAGTCACTGGTCACAGCCAGCTTGGCTTCAGGAGGGGAAGGTCCTGCTTGTCAAACCTGATTCTCCTCTGCCAAGGTAACCCACCAAGCTGAGCAAAGGAAGCAGCTGATGTCATCTCTTTGGATGTCAGCACAACTTTTGGCACAGTCTCTCCAGGTGTCCTCCTGGACAAACACACCACGAGATGGGTGAGCACTTGGCTCACGGCTCGGGCACAGAGGTTGTGGTGAATGGGAGCACACCAGGCTGGCACTGGTCACTAGTGGGTTCCACAGGGCCCATCTCAGGCCCAGAGCTCTTCCACGTCTCCATAAAGACTTGGATGCAGGACTTGAAGGGATACTAAGCCAGTTTGCAGATGATACAGAACTGGGAGGAGCTGTTGACTCCCTGGAAGGCAGAGAGACCTTGCAGGGACAGGGACAGATTAGAGATCTGGGAATCACCAACCACATGGAGTTTAACAAAGGCCACTGTGATTTCCTCTGACTGTTAACTACACATTGTCACATATACTTATGGCTACTGTAAGTCTACGATAGCAACACAAAGTTTTTTTAAATGCAAATCCTGCGTTATCTCCTGATACAGATACATAACTTTCTGCACTGGAAATTGAAACTGTTTAGAAACAATATTAGTCTCTAAAGCAAATACTCATTCTAAAAGCCAGTTGGCTGTTTCTCTTAGCACACACACACCCTCTATTATCACAAATGCTTCCAGTTTCATTAATGATTCTGGCAATATCTAAGAGCTGTGGAACAGTTCATCATTATCTCCTCCTACCATTTACAGAGAACAGAAAACAGAAGCACAGGGGTAAGGAAACCAAAGCCTTTCAGTGACTTGTTATTTCTCGATTACAAGTTACACTTCCTCTCATACCTAAAAACTTTCTTTTAGACACTGACTTCTGGTCAATGGCCTCCCCAAAAGGGAACTATATAAATGCACTAACTGCAAGAGACCTTGTCATGCTCTGTGCTTGGAACCACTGCTCACTGCTCGGTTAATGAAGCACATTAAACCACTGAGGCATGCCCTGCACTAATAACTGGTGGTTTATTAGCTCCTCACAGCTGATCTACAGCAGAGAGACCTTTCTGAATCTTGTTACATGCTCTGCAAGCTCAGGGTTTGTTCTCTCAGAGTAAGGAAGGGAAAACAATCCCCCCAAACAATGCCTCTGTCTTAGGTCAGACCAGCCAGTTCTTCTGCAAACACTCAAATTCAACACTGTGCACTACCTTTAAATTGTTTATAGCCTTACAGCACAGCAATATTTGTGTCTTCCAACCTTTCAGAGACAGCCAAGAAGAACTGCCTTGAAGTCAGATGCTGCTTCACCTGCACTGGGCACATTCACCTGTTATGTGTAATGTTCACCAGAACTGGGGTGGCTTCGGTGATTGAGCTTTACTCTGTGTCTTCATGCACACCCTACACTTTCAGGGGCACCTGAAGTCAGTCAGTGCTCAGGTTGGTTTGTTTTACGTGGCTGAAAAGGGAAGGTTAAGTGAGCAGGTTAATTGCTTCTAATTGTTTCCACTCATCTGTCCTGTCCATGCTCTGATAGCCACTGGGCTGCAGGGCCTACTGCTGTGGCAGGTGGCCAAGGCAACTGGGAGGAGGAGGAAAGTTAATGTCAGCCAGGCACAGTTCTCAGTCAGCCAGCAGAAACCTTTGCCTGGTTGTGGTGTAGGGTATCAAACTCTCAGGCTTGGTAAGACCTGACATGCAGCCAGGACTCTCTCACCAAGGATTTATAGCTCCATGCAGGTGTCTCAGCAAGCACAGGCACCAGCAGCAGGATGTTCTGCCAGTGCTCCTGCTCACCTCTGATGAGGAACGGTGCAGCATCGTGGTGGGGCCACAGAGCAGCACTGTGCCAGGGTTTGCTGAGCCAGCGAGGAACAGTGCAGCATCATGGTGGGACCACAGAAGCTACCTTCACTATAAGGCATTCAAATGTCTCTGGCTTAAGCTACTGACTTCTATTTGCACAAGAATCAAGGCAGAGCCAATATCTGAGTTATACTTCAAGCTAATATTGCCAGGCTGGAAGGCTTTGAAACTGTGAACAAACTGACAAATATCTTACAGGGCTATTATGTACTTTTGTATCATGGAAGTACCACTAGCCTTGAGCTAGGGTGCCCTGTCGTTACTAGACCATGGCACTAAGTGCCACATCCAGTCTCACCTTGAAAACCTCCAGGGATGATGAATCCACCACCTCCCTGGGCAGCACATTCCAATGCTGAGCACTCTCTCTGTAAAAAATCTCTTCCTAATCTCCAACCTAACCCTCCCCTGGCAGAGCTTGAGTCTGTGCCCTCTTGTCCTCCTGCTGGTTACCTGGGAGAAGAGACCAACCCCCACCTGACTCCAACCTCCTGTCAGGGAGTTGCAGAGGGTGATAAGGTCTCCCCTGAGCCTCCTCTTCTCCAGGCTGAACAAGGGAATAGTGCTTAGTGTGACAGGCTGTAGTCAAAATTCAAGAGCAGCCTAGTCATCTCAAAGAGCAAAGCAGAGCAGGAAGCTGCAGTAAGAGGAGATTTAACCAATGTGTGAAAGAAAACAAGCCAGAGAACAACACTTGACACTAGAGATGGAGCTGACAAGCTGCAACAGTCCTTGACCTCTCAGTACCAGGTGGGCTAAGTGGAAAGGGCATTAGAACAGAAAACACACATTGCAGCTCGAGATGCATCAAGAGTGGGAACTCTCCTGATGCTCCAGGGATGTGAGTGCAGAGCAAGTTCCTCAGTGCAGAAGGGAAGAACAGAGGTTTCACAGTATCTGAGCAGAGGTATCTGCCTATTTTCAGAGCAAAAGGTTAATTTCAAACCACCTTCTTAAACAAATACTCTGTGACATCAATAGAGCATTTAATTGGTTTGCTCCCAATGCTTCTCTCTGTGGGAAAAGGTAACAACATGTGGCTGTTCCTGGGGTTTCCTGAATGGGTAGAAGGCTTCTGCCTTCTAACACCCCTTGGGAGCAAAGTCTGAGTTTTCAGTGAAAAAATGTAATCCAAGGTCACTCACCACGTGCTGTTACCTCCTCCTTCAGGTACTAACAGTAACTATGTTATTGGCACATGGTGAGATTTACCAAGCTTGAGAGAGAATGTGTCCCTGAACGCTACATATTTACATTTGTAGTGGTTAAAAGTTTGCTCAGGAAACAGAGACTAATAATAATAGCACTTAGGAAAATTATACCATCTGAGAGGAATTAATTACACAGGTTACTGTGGAGGAGGAGACAACTGTGGGCAGAGAAAAGTTAAGCCAACACATATACATATACACCACAACACACATTATCACTGCTCCCCAAAACAGACACAACCACAGACTTGCAAACCCAAAGCCAAACATCCTAGCATGGAATTCCATAAAGGAAAGGCCAAAAAATGGGAATGAAAGTGCAATGTCAGTACCAAAGAATGGCAAAATACGAGTCACAAGACACCACGGTGATAGGGGTGGGATGAAAGGGGAAACGCTTCCATTCTCTCAGATTTTAGTTTCTGAAGACACACTCTGCTTCTATTTCCTTTCTTCTGCCCCACTCCGAGCA